GTTAATAAGTGTTAGCCATTTAAGATAATGAAGTGAGGATGAATAATGCTAATAGTTCTGATCCTTGACTTACTAAGGAGCTTCTCAGTCCTCAGCAGCATGAATGCTAAGCTTAGATTTTGGAAGAGTCACTGTCCCCACATCAAGGCATACTACACATATGTAACCAGTGAAAAATGCATCTTCTTTAAGTTACCAAGGTGAGAAATGAACACTGCTTTGTGAAATAAAGACCCATTTTATTTTCAGTTCGTTCCACGAAAATTCCATGAGCCTGGTGGGTTAAAAAGCAAAAGCCTACAATAGGAGACAAAAAACCCTGGAAGTGTCATTTGCTAATCCTGCAAGCTTGGGTACTTGCCTTTTCTGCGTTAATTTCCTCATCTATAAAATAGAGATGATGATAACATCAGCTCTGCTTTTTAGAGAAAACAACTCTAAAATGCAGTGGAAGCACGCTGAACAGTATGGTACGCCAGTGCAAAGCAGGTGTTTTGTCTCAGAGAATGGGTGACAGCGTGGGCCCTGAGGTCAACCAGCCTGGGTCTAATCCCAGTGCTTCTCCTGACCTACCCGAATGACCTTAAGCAGGGTATGCAAGTTTTCTCATCCATTATTTGAGGATAATAACAATATGTCTATGTAGGGTTGCTGTGAGGATGAAAGGAGGTAATACAAACTTTATTTGGCTATCTTTGATTTTTAGACACACATTTTCCAGACACAGGAGTTGTACAAATGTACCCAAATAATATTTAGACCTGGTGGCACTTCAGAGAAAGACGAAATACACCTCTTGTCCCTGTGATCACAATTCTTAGACTAGAGGAAGTGGCTGCACCGAAGTGTCCCAGAGAAGGAAATTTCTGACTTGATTATAAGACACAAGCATTCATTAAACCCTTTTCTGGCCATCTTCTAAGTGGCAGGTGCTGAGTGTGTAAAAATAAGATGGAGTAGTTGGCCTCGAGGAGGTCACAAGGAAGTCGGGGAGGGCAGGACAGTCACAGCAGAAAGTTCTGTGAATTCTTGGATAGAAGCGAAAACTAGCTGAGTACACAGATGGAGGTCAGTACAGGTGAGACCCTGCACTGACCACTTGAGTGCTCAGATGGAGGTGGCAGCAGGAGAAACTGAGACTGACTGCCCAGGCTAGGATCAGGACGCGTCATGCTCTTGAGTTGAATCTTGCTGAGTGAGTAGGAGTTTTCCAGGAGGAAGCTGTGGAGAAAGATACCACTGAACCGCCTTGTGGGGCAGTCATTACCACTTGGATTTCCAACTGGAGCCTACTGGAGTTTGAGTTACTTTCAGGTTCTTGGGTATGTTTACCCTCTCCTATGCAAAAAGTAGTTCCCTGGGGCCTTTACCTGGGCAAAATGTTCATTCTAGAGAGGTTTAGAGCTATACTATCCAGTTAGGGTAGCCCCTAAACACAGGTGGCTTTTGACATCAAAATGAATCAGAAATAAGCCCTATTCAGTGCTCAGTAGCACATGTGGCACTATTTACATTATCACACAGAGAGCGGAGTGGGACCTTCTCCAGCTGTGACGAACCCCTGTGCTGGTGCTCTTGTGTAGGCTCTCAGGAGTTTCAGTTCCTGCTCTGCCCCAGGCTCTTGAGGGCCAGACGCTGCCCATCAGACCTCACGCAGTAACATCTGCTTTCTTCTGGGCTGCCAGAGGTCTGCCAGTCCCGGCCTGGATTCAACTGTAAAATCAACAGACTGTTGCCTGGGTGAAAATCTGGTTCACTAAACTGATGGACTAAAATATTCCAACCTGGGCACCATGGCGAAACCCCATCTCTACAAAAATTTGCCGGGCATGGTGGCACGTGCCTGCAGTCCCAGCTACCCAGGAGGTTGAGGCTGCAGTGAGCCATGATCGTATCACTGCACTCCAGCTTGGGCAATGGGGTAAAACCTTGTCTTAAAAAAAAATTATTTATCCCTTTTCACTAGCACAGAAATCCTCCTAGGACCTCAGGTTTGGTTCTTTTAAGCTGTGTGGAGAGAGATCAGGTCAGAGGGAAGCAGCACCAATGTCATGGCCTTTAGGGCTGGGAGGAAGACCCCTGCTTCAGAATTCTTAGAGTTGTGCAAAGGGCAGCTCGGGGGATAAGTACCATGAGAAGGTTGACTGAGGCCGGGTGCGGTGGCTCACACCTATCATCCCAGCACTTTGGGAGGCCAAGGTGGGCAGATCACTTGAGGCCAGGAGTTTGAGACCAGCCTGGCCAACATGGTGAAACCCTGTCTCTACTAAAAATACAAAAAATTAGCTGGGCATGGTAGTGGGCTCCTATAACCCCAGCTACGCAGGAGGCTAAGGCATGAGAATTGCTTGAACCCAGGAATCAGAGATTGCAGTGAGACCAGATCGCACCACTGCACTGCAGCTTGAGTGATTGTTTAAAAAAAAGAAAACATTGATTGAGTCCTCAGTGATCAGTGCCTAACCTAGTATTTTGGTTTTGTGCTCAAGAATTCCCTATCCCAGCAGATAAACCTAACTGCTTTTCAGTAATCACAGCCAGGACACCCCAAATGCACATGCTGCCCCTGATGGATTCATGACAAATTGTACATTGACCTGTGTATGTAGCTGCACCAAGCCGGTTTGCTATTAAGGAATAGTAATCCTCTTACAAAGCAAAAGAAGCAAAGACAAAATACCTCTTGGATCATTCAAAGCTTAGTCTCCAGGGCACTTCCCTTTGGAACCTGCCCAATCCCATGGTGTACAAGGAGTCTCTGCTATGACCTGTGCTTTGCCACCAATATGTTTGATTGGGTCCTGGTGTCCCAGGAGATTAGATGGCACCAAGATCTGTGCATAAGGCTAACAGGCTTTTGGAAAGTTTCAGTTACAATAACTACGACCTCATCTTAAAAGGCATTTGACCTTAGTTAGCCCAGGTTTGGTGATAATTTTCCAGAATAGCTTTTATTTTAGGAATTCAGATTCATCTGGATAATTTCCAGATGTCGTAAATTATAACATCTGCCCCATCTGTTGAAACAACCTGGAATTTCATAGTGAGCCATCAGTCTAAGAGGAGGGACTAATCTTTTTCCAGAGTGCTGCTTCTCCTCCAATCATGGCTGCTTGTTTCTGAAGGGGACTTTTCAGGGTCATTGAAAAGCATCCCTGGGTTTCGGAGACAGCCTCATACAGTGTCTTCAGAGATTTGCCATGTGCAGTCCCCACATGGGCTGGTACCTGGTGCCTTGTTTCAATGTATGGTTGTCACTTGTAATTTATCAGTGGGACCAGGTATGCTTAGGAAGGGGAAATAGACACACAGAAGCAGCAGCCCGTATCTGATGGAACTTAGATAGCCATGATTTGAGTACCTCATGTGGATAGTGGAGCATCTGAACCAAGAGGCTCCCTCAGTGTCCGTGGTGCCTGCAGTGTCCAGTGGGTCTGTCTCAGTGGGGAAGGGGTGAAAAAGCCACTGGACGTGATGGGTACAAGGCATGTGCATCAGTCATCTGCTGGGAAGGGGTATAATAGAGCCACAGCCCCTAGGAGCAAGGCCCTGGTCTGTTTCAAGGACATTGACTATCTGTAAGTCGGGGAGACTGGCCTTTTCATCCACTCCCAGCTCTTACCTGGAGCTCACACGGGGTTGACCTTCCTACACGGGGACTCTGCAGTGGGACACCTGGGGTCTATGTCCTCCCAAATAGGAAACAGGAGAAGAGGAGGCAGGAGAAGGGCTGGTTGGATGATCTTGGCTAGGAGAAAACAGACAATTTTTAAAATCCTCCTGTCATTCAAGGTCTGTTTATAGAAGAGAGAACAGAAATGGTTTTCTTTTACTCTGGAGGGAGTTCACTTCCCAATTAACTGTACTAACAAGACAAAAGGGCTGTGGGAGCCCATTGCCTTTTCCTAAGGTGGTTCTGTTACTGTTTTGTTTTCCTAATAATAAGGTACTGAGTATCAACAGGGAGCCAACAAGGCAAGAGTTTTATCTGCCGAAATGAAAAAGGGCACGCGTAGAACGCTGTTCCTCCCTCCCAGATCACAGCTCACTGAATAATTCATTGACTTCCCCATCTTTCCAAGATGCATTTCTGCACTTTCTATGAGTTTTACAGCATTATCTATTCATCGATGAATTATGATGGGAATAAAAAATTTGGAACATGAGTCACACCTCATGAGTTTGGACTAACTGGGGAAAAGGCTGGTCTGGAGTAACAGTGTGAATTCATGATGTCTATATATAACTTCATATATGTATATGAAGACACACATATAGTTTTATTCTTTTAAATGCCAGTGTAGTGTCATTTAGCAGTAGCTACAGTCTAAGGTACTTTACAGAACTGAGTCTGACTTGGCTCTGTCACTAAATTGCTGCGCCTCCCACACCAGGGACTCTCAACTTCAGCACTACTGCTATTTGGGGCTGGATCATTCTTTGTCTCATAGGCTGTTTAGCAACATCCCTCGCCTCTACCCACTAGATGCTAGCGGCATCCTCCATCCATGACAATCAGGGTCTCTCTCAGACACTGTCCTGGTTGAGAACCACTGTCCTAGACCAAGTCAAATCATGCCCCAGGCCATTGAGTCCTTGTTGGTAAACTGAGGTGGCCTAGGGAGAGTATCTTAAAATCCCCTCCCAGATCAAACATTCCCAGGATGAGCATCAATGCATCCCGCTAGACCCTCATAAACTGTCTAACACCTGTGTGAAATGGGTGTATAAAGTGGAAATATGTTCCTCTTAAAGTTGACATTGAAGCTCTCATGTATACCTCCATACATGGTTTTTATACAGTTTGCCTCTGTAACCTATTCATGTCTAATTAGCAAATACCCACAGAATATTCCATATTCCTAAGAAGCCCAAAACAGACTTAAAATTGCTCTTACTGTGTCTTATTTGTCACTGACTATCCATGCAACTGGATTTAACAGAGGAGAGTTTGGGAAATGATTTGGCTGAAATACCTGCCTTTTTTTGCTTTGCCACAGGAATTCTCACACTCAAGAAAGCAAATGAACTTCTTCTGAGCACAGGCGTGCCCGGCAGTTTTCTCATCCGAGTCAGTGAAAGGATCAAAGGCTATGCCCTGTCCCACCTGTCAGAGGACAGCTGTAAACATTTCCTCATCGATGCCTCTGCAGACTCCTACAGCTTCCTGGGCGTGGACCAGCTGCAGCATGCCACCCTGGCGGATTTGGTGGAATATCACAAGGTGAAGCAATGCATAAACTTATTTTGCCTTCTGTGTTACTGTCCTGTAGCAGCTCTAACAATGAATGACAATGACAAGGAAAAGGACTGAGACAAGTACGTGGGGCGGAGGGGTTGTCTTTGGTAATTGTTCCTGATAATCAGGATTGTTAATTGCGTTTCATTTATCTTAGAACCTAGTTCTTCCTTAAATACTCAGGGAACCCCACTGAGGCAGAGAATACAGGAAATGCTAAAGAAAAGAAAAAATAAAAGCTGTAGCCACATGGATCACATACGACAGCAGTCCCCAACCTTCCTGGATGACAGTTTCTCCATGGACTAGGGGTTGGGGGATGGTTTCAGGATGATGTAAGCACATTACATTTATTGTGCATTTTATTTCTATTACTACATTGTTATATGTAATGAAATAATAATACAGTTCAACGAAGTGTAGAATCAGTGGGAGCCCCGAACTTGTTTTCCTGCAACTAGACGGTCCCATCTGGAGGTGATGGGAGACAGTGACAGATCATCAGGCATTAGATTTTCATAAGGAGCACACAACCTAGATCCCTCACATGCACAGTTCACAATAAGATTTGCATCCGATGAGAATCTAATGCTGCCACTGATCTGACAGGAGGCAGAGCTCAGGCAGTAATGTGAACAACAGGGAGCGGATATAAATACAGATGAAGCTTTACTCCACTGCTCACCTCCTGCTATACAGCCCTGGTTCCTAACAGGCCACAGACTGGTACTGGTCCATGGCCCTGAGGCTGGGGACCCCTGACCTATGAGAACAGTCTTAAGTTAGAACTCAAGCCCTGGAGGGAAAGAGAGTACCTGGCCACATGTGGATAAGAAAAATGCCTCTTAAGATGATCATAAACCACGAAGGCTTCGTGTAAATCCTGGGTAGGCAGCTAGCGATGTCCTCTGAGGAAGTAGGAAGAGCATGTGGTTGCTCCTCACACTGTTTGACCCCTGTGCCTTCTGATTGACAGGAGGAACCCATCACTTCCCTGGGAAAGGAGCTCCTCCTCTATCCCTGCGGTCAGCAGGACCAGCTGCCTGACTACCTGGAGCTGTTTGAGTGACAGCCTCCATCAGGGTCATCCTACAGCCTCCAGCTGGGCTTTCCCCTGGACAAACGCCACCGCAACATTTATGTGTGAAGCCAAAAGCACCCTGCAGCAGAGCCAGTACTGATCAACTGAAAGCGTCCATGGAATCCTCACTGACACCTCTCTTCTGCACAAATACTGGAATTCGATGTCAAGAGCAAATGACCTCTGCTCATATTCAAAAGTAAAGGGAGAAGAGTCTCAGTTTCAGCAAGCATCTGTCATGAAGGGTATGACCTTAGTGATGTCCATAAAGCAAACGAAGAAATGGAAACCTTTTAGAAAACCAGTATCTTTGTGAAGCATCATGTGACCCCTGTACTCCCTCTGTATCATCTCAGGAGGTTTCAGGGGCCTGTCAAGTTTCATGCTGGCTTTGCAATGCTGGCCAAAAAAACAAAAGCCTTTCCTGGCTGAGATGATGCTTAAAACACACCTCACTTACTGTACATGTTGGAACCAGGATACGAGAGACATAGAAAAACAGAAGTCACGAATGTAAATGGAATGAGAAGTTTTAAAACATAGGATGAGCGGCTTAACATGCATAAAAATACAGATGGACCTGCAGGAAAGTGAGCGCACGTCACTGAGTTTGTTTTCTTCTTCTGGAGAATGGGGCCACGGCCTCTCCTGGCTCTAGAGTGCACCAAAAGGACAAAGCAAAGCATCTGCGCACATATATATATATATATATATATATTTTTTTTTTTTATCAGTAGTGCATAGACCAGAACAGAATAAGCAGGCTGTTTGGATGCTACTTGTGGTTGAATTGTGTTCCCCCAAAATAGATAGTGAAGTCTTAACCCCCCATCCCCGTGAATGTGATCTGGTTTGGAAATAGGGTCTTTGCAAATATAGTCAAGTTAAGATGAGGTCACACTGGATTAGGGTAGGCCCTAAATCCAATGACTTACATCCTCAGGAGAAGAGAGAGGTTTGATAATAGAGACAAATGCAGTGGGAAGACGACCAGGGGACAAGAGGCAAGTTGGAGTGATGCAGCCAGAAGGGAAGGGACACCAAGATCGCTGGCCACCAACAGAAGCCAGGAGAGACGCATGGGACAGGTTCCCCCCAAGCCTTAGAAGGAAGCATGGCCCTGACTTTGGAATTCCAGACTCCAGAACCGGGAGAATAAATTTCTGTTGTTTTAAGCTGCTTAGTTCATGCTGATTTGTTACTATAGCACCAGAAAGCTAATACAGTCATTTATGTAATTACATAACCTGACACACAGGATTGACCCGTTAATTGCAGCCCAGTTCACCATTTTCATAATGAAGTAGAAATGGGAGGTAAGAAACATTCCAGCCAGTTCTGTTTAGCCCTGGGACACGTATTTGTCCTATCAGGAATCTTACACCCTGCTGCGTGCCCCACCCACCTTGGTCCACTCCCAGTCCGGGAATGGACTCTGGACAGGGACTGAGGTGGCTCGGAGCCACTGGAGATCATTTTTCTGGGAGGATGGAAATTGGCTAGGACCTCTGGCCTAACTCTGTAGGTCAGCACTCTTTTACATTGCCTTTTAATAAAAGCAGAATCATACAACAGCGTGGTTATGAGCTTGTTGGTTGCATCCAGCACTGACAGAGAAGGGGATGGTTGGCATGTGTGTTCTAATGAGAAAGAGGATGATGTTTATTTTTAGAGACAGGGTCTTGCTCTGACACCCTGGCTGGAGTGCAGTAGTGCGATCACAGCTCACTTCAGCCTCGAACTCCTGGCCACACGTGATCCTCCTGCCTCAACCTCCCAAAGTGCTAGGATTACAGATGTGAGATACTATGCCAGGTAGAGCTAGCTTTGAAACACAGATCATTGTTTAACTCTTTCTTGAAATGTTCCATGTGGTTTATATTGTTAAACTATTGTAAGGATCCATCTTTTTTGTTCCTGTTATTCAATAATCATGGCATTATTGAGAAACTTCTCATCTCTTCCCACCATTTTCTGTGTAACCTTGGACACGACGTTTTATCTCTGAGCGTCAGTTTTTGCTTCTGAACAACAAAATATGATTTAACTGGGTGATCTTTATTATTTTTATGCAATTCTGAAATTTTAAGATTCCAGTGCTTCTCCCTGGAATGAATGGAAAGTACCCCCTTGTCACTAATAATTAGGAAGACGTAAGATTCTAGTACAGGACGGGTACGGTGACTCACGCCTACAATCCCAGCACTTTGGGAGGCCAAAGTGGGTGGATCATGAGTTCAGCAGTTCAAGACCAGCCTGGCCAACATGCTGAAACCCCGTCTCTACTCAAAATACAAAAATTAGCCGGGGACGGTAGCGTGCACCTGTGATCTCAGCTACTCAGGAGGCTGAGGCAGGAGAATTACTTGAATCTGGGAGGCAAAAGTTGCAGTGAGCAGAGATTAGGCCATTGTACTCCAGCCTGGGCTACAGAGCAAGACTCTGTGTTGAGGGGGAAAAGAAATCCAGTACCCTCCTGTGCCTACAGTTATCTTGTAGGAAATAAGTGTGCCCATATCCAGCTATAACTACACAAAGCAACATCCTACTAAAGGAAGATTTAGAAAACAGGAAGTTGCCCAACTGAATTAACCCATTACTACAAAGGGGAGTAGATGTGGGTTCTGGACTAGTTTATCCTATTTGTTGCTGACAGAAAAATACACTGTCAGTGTTGGATGATATGATGGCATGAATGATAGTTGAAATTTTTAGGGAAGGAGAATGGTTTACAGATTTCAGAAACTGATTTCAACTGAATGGGATTCTGGAGGCCTGAACTGTCATCCGAGCTGTGCTGTGGTCTCAGTCCTGCCTACATCTACCCTGAGTTACGGTCTAAGGTGAAGATGTCCAAACTCTGATCGATCCTGGTCTCCTCCTGTTGCCTCCGCAAGCCCAGCTCCTTGACCTGCCTGCACAAGGTTTCTGGGTCTAGGAATGCTGGCCTCATGTTACTGTCCTGGTTCTCAAGCCTAGGTGCTCTGGTCTGCATACCCTGACTCACTGGGCCTGTGCCCATATGCTACTCCCTGCCCATCTAGATTCTTCTCTCCCACAATTCTGGAATCTCCCTCCCACAGTCATGTAAGATTTTCTGGCTGCCACCGTATTGCCAGATGCTCACAGACGCATCAGGTCACCTGCAAGGACCCTGCTTCTGGCCTCCTATCCTACCCAGCTGCAGTACGATGCACAAGGAAGGTCACTTGGCCCCCAGTGTCACCAGCAGTGCTAGCTAGGCAGTCTCAAGAAGTGTTTTCTGGTCAGGCACGGTGGCTCATGCCTGTAATCCCAGCACTTTGGGAGCCAAGGCAGGTAGATCACAAGGTCAGGAAATTGGGACCATCCTGGCCAACACGGCGAAACTCAGTCTCTACTAAAACAAACAAACAAACAAACAAACAAACATGCTTTCTGGCTCAGAGCTTACCCTAAAAAGTGAGAAAACACAGGGTAAGTTAGGAAAAAAAAAGATCAGAGAAGTCAGGTCACCAAAAATACCTCCAGGACATTTCCACCCAAAATTGCCTATCTGAGCTAATGCTTTGGAATTAAGCATCCTTTGCTAATATGACACAAAATCTTTTAGATTAAAAAAAAATTTATGGCTTCAAGTTTTGCAATTGCCACCTTTTGTAAAGGCTGTTTTCTTAATGCACTGGAGTCCAAACATGTTTTATGGCCCACACACACGGATTTTCAGGCTCCTGCTACTTGATGACAGAGAAGACACAAATGCATGTGTTATGCATGGATACGTTTCCATGGGGCCTCTTTGCTTTCATATTTATCCAGAACGTGGTAAATGCTTTCCTTTCAGGCTGCAATTCACAGGGTTTGTTTTGTTTTGTTTTAGAACATACGTTTTCTACAACTGTATCTTTAAATAATCTGTTTGAATTTAGCTTTTCTCTTCGTCGGGAATAGCTATAAATGTTTGATTTTTCTTTGCTTTTCATGTGGTATTCTCACCCCCATTGTTTTCATCTCTCCCTTCTTTTCTGTTGTATTTTACGAGAGCTCTTGCATCTGTCCTTTCCCCATCAGAGATTAAATTTTCTACAATGTTAATTCTGCACTGCACTGCCTCCAGGTGGATTTTAGTACCACTTTTACATTTCCAGCTACTTCCCATCCTACCTTCTCTTCCTGTGCAGGGATCTTTAGGCTTCTCACTGCTTCCCCAGACTGACAATTGTCAGGAAGCTTAAATGATAAAAGTACCCTATTCTAATTGTGGCAAAAACACATTATTTGATAATCAGGCTGCTCGATATAGTAGAGAGCAGGCCCAGCAGGTTTGGGGTGGGGTCCTGGCTGTACCATAACTAACCGTGTGGCGTCGTTAAAGAAGAACAATAACTAAGCCTGTCTGAGCTTCAGTTTCATCTCTCAGACAGATGTTACTCAAGTCCCCTGGGTTCTGAAGATTAGGAAAGAAAGATGTTAAATATCTGGCATCTAGAAAGCTCTCCATGGGCCCAGCATGGCGGCTTACACCTGAAATCCCAGCTCCTTGGGAAACTGAGGCAGGAAGATTGCTTGAGCCCAGGATTTTGAGACCAGTCTGACCCACATAGTGAGACCCCACCTCTACAAAAAAATACCAAAATTAGCCAGGTGTGATTGGCATGTGCCTGTAGTCCCAGCTACTTAGGAGGCTGAAGTCAGAGGATCACTTGAGCCCAAGAGTTCGAAGCTGCAGTGAACTATGATTGTATTACTGCACTCCAGCCTGGGTGACAGAGTGAGACCCTTTCTTTACAAAGAAAAGAAAAGAAAAGAAAAGCAAGCCAGCTCTCCAGAAATAGTAATTGGGTAATTGCCTTTGCCTTTTCCTAGTGAGTTATGAGTCCAACAAAACCAGGATCCTTGTACTGCAAACTTCCCCTTTGTCAACTCAGTTTATGTGACCACTGGGCTGTTTATCCCCCATCCTTGTTTCCTAGAATTTCTGAGATGAATTTTAAGAAGGAAGAGGAAACTTCTGAAGAGTAAGGGATTTAATGACCAACCACACAATACATTCATTTGCCAGTTGACCTGCAGAGAATCGGCTCACTTGGTCTGGATCTGAAGTGGCACAGAGGGGCTTTTTCTAATGTCTGATTTTGACAATCCCCAAATTAGCAGTAACCAGTTTTTACCCACAAATCAGCCATTGTCCAACTGGCTCTGCTGCCTCGTGATTCCTGATTACAAATCCCCAAGTATTTGCCTCCCATTTTGACCAGGAGACATCACAAACCCAGCTCCCTTTGAGATGAACTCTGCCTGTCTCCCAGCTAGGTCAGGCAATGCCAAGCAAACTCCCCCACATTCTGTTTTTCTCAGTCTAAATCAGCTTTGGCTTTTCTTCAGTTGGGAGGATGTTTCTTGTTGAAATCTTCCCACCAATGAAGTTGAGATCCTGGGAGCCCTGCATGGGCCTGCACCTCAATAACCAGACAGAATGGCAAATGCCTTGCCCTCCAGGGGTGCCCTCCCAATGGTGTGCCAGCGATCGAGAAAAGCTTTGCAACCAAGCCGCTCCCTGCTGCTTCCGACAGCCCGCCATGCCAGGGCTGTGATTTTGACGTAGCTTCATTTGAGGCTGATAAAGAACAAGTGATGTAAATAAGCTTTTCCTTCAGCCTTTCTTTGAACTTAATTTGGGTGTTTTTGTGGTTTTTCATTGACTTATTTAATCCATTTCAAATGGGCTTTAACATCTAAGCAGGCCAGATGATGTTTACTGTTGTCATTTTTGAAACCCTGGAGTGACAGGGTGAGTTGGCAGTGGGGGTAGAAGCTTTGGGAATCACAATGGAGGTGGAGGAAGTGGCCTGGCATGGCTGCACTTCATTCCAAGCTCAAGTATCTGACTCAGGTTGATGAAGAATAAATCCAGTTCACCAGACATCCCACCCAGGCTGAAGGTCATTCGGTTAGTCCCAGACAGAGGCTGCCATGGATGGCTGGCCCTCACTGAGTCCCTGGGGCGACTGTGGAGGCTGGAGAAAGGTCTTCAAGAAGCACAGCCCTACTTCTCTCCCCAGAGCAATGCCCGCCCTTCCCAGGCTGTGACCTTCCCCAAGGCGGCCCTGCCCTGCCCCTCCTCCCCTACAGTCCTGTCCACCTTCTTGCTAGAATAGCAGACAAGGCCATACACAGCCGAGGAGACACTGGGGGTGACTACTCCAGAGGGCGTGTTCAAAGGATCAGTAATGCACAGTTTGAAAGGCACCTCTGCTGACAGGAAAGAACATATTCTGTGTGTTGAAAAAAACTACCATCAAAACCCCCCAACCAACTGGCACCATCCCCATAGTTTTTGGCAGCAATAGCAAAGCACTGAGCCCTGCCAGGAGAAACAGCTTTGAATTAAAATATAAAGCTAATCAGAATATGGATCACACGAAGCTGCCAGTCATTTTATGTGTGTGGGGAGTAAAACACCCCTGCCCTGCTAAGAAACTGCCCAAGGTCATTATCTCAAATCAGCAATTCTCACGAACAGTATCAAGTCTTTTCTTAAAAAAGCAAGTATTCCCACCTGCTGTCCCCTCCTACTCAAATCATTCTTTTTC